AACAATATATGGTCATGAACAAAGTTTTTGTCGAAGGTTAAGGAATGAACTTTATTTCTGAAATTTCAATAATGATAATGATGATGATGGACGATGACGATGGTGATAATGACGATGCCAATGACGATGATGATGACGACGATGATGATGGCAACGACGATGATGATGACGATGACAATGACGATGATGATGACGATTATGATGATGACAATGACAATGACACTGACAATGACGATGATAATAATAACAACAACAATACACCAAACAAAAATAAACATTGATATACACGATCACAAACAAAGCAATGGAGGAGAAGGAGTTAGTCCAAGGTTACGGTCAGAATTAGCGAAGAGGGCGCTCAGCTGTGACTCAGCCTGAGGTAAATGCCTAGAGGGTGCCTTGGGGGACAGCAGTCTGCCGCAACTCTCGCCTCAAGATTGCCATGTGGTCTGCTGTGAGTTGCCATGTGCTGTGAGTTGCCATGTGCTGAATTACCATGGCATAGTGGCGATGGGAAAGGCCGGAGTGGTGGTTGTTTTTTTCAATGAGGATGGTATTTTGATGATAATCATGAAAATGATGATAATGATAATCAAGTTGAAAGTAATGATAATCATAATCATGTTGAGAGTAATGATAATCATATTGAAAATAATGACAATGATAATTAGTGATAATCATGATAAATAATTATAATTAATGATAACAATGAAGAATATAATAATAATAATAATAATAATAATAATATAATAATATAATAATAATAATAATAATAAACATTTAAAATAATAATAATAATGATAATAATGACAATAACGACGATGAGGATGATAATGTTGATAAAAACAACAACAACGGATTTCGACTAATTCTATACTTGTTTTCAAAAAGGTCAACAGTTTGTGTTCTGTTGCATCCAGTTTTCGAAAATCAACCCCTTCATTTTCCTTTAAAAAAAGACCCACCAGATCTCGTTTTAAATCCAGAGATACGAATTAAGTATCCCTAGTCAGCCTCTAGATATAGCATAATAGATTGTGATATTATCTACCACAGGGGTTCCTAACTTCAGTCCAAAGTATTAAAATCGGGGTCACGCGAATATTTTCAGTAAGTCATCAGTAATTTTCTATAAATTTTTGCTTCGCTAAATTTCATCATTATTTGTGTAATTCCTTTATTTTTTTGTTTTATCTTCATTATTAACTTCCATACTACGCAACACTATTTTATTCAATATTATGGGAAAAATCACCCCTTAAAACCCTTACAAACACCATCACTACCATCACGGTCATCACCACCCCTAATAAAATGCAGTCACCATGCAATTCCATCACTGACATCACCCACACCACCACCATATAAATCACCACTTCAACATCATATAAATCCCCATCCTCAACATCGTATAAATCACCACCACCGTATCACCATCCACACCATCATAGAAATCATTATCCCCAACAGATGTCACCACCGCCATTATGACAATTACCATCCACAGCACCACAGAAAATCACCACAAATCACCACCCCCGACATCACAGACATCACCATCCCCACAACACAACAGAATTCACCACAGGATTAACCACCTCCACCACAGCAATTAATAATAATAGTACCCCCTAAGATTATGCTTAAAACCTTTAGTCAAAAGATTGCATTTGATACATATATGTTAGTGAATCAACGCTAGACAATGATATCCCAAGATTATAATGTTATCTTAGTAGGGGTTAAAAGTATTATATCTATCGCTTAAGGTCAGAGAACCTCTTCTTTGCATGTACAATTTTTAGGTTAGTTGTTCAGATTTATGGAGAGAGGAACATTTAGAAAAGAAATTATATTTTTAAGTCGAACAGTTTTCTCTTAGTTATCAAAATGGAGTCTTTCAATTCCATTCACTGATGAAACATCCAACAAATCTCATCTTGAAAAAAGGTCGTTGGTTTAAACATCATTAGAAAAAATGTCAGAAAGAAAAATAATCAGAATTTCATGAAAAGAGGAAAATACGTGAGAGAGTTTTGAAAATTGTGGCATTTCCCAGATCAACAACCCGGACTTTGTAAAAATGATTTCTCACGCTAGAAGAAAAATAACACCTTTTCGTCTTCTTCGCTTTTCTTTTAACAATGTAAAAAAAAAAAAAAAAAAAAAAAAAAAAAAACTCTGATGATATAAATAATAATAATAACGGCAATGATAGTTGATAATGATCATTAGCATGAGAATGAAAACTGTAGTGATAATGAAAGTGTGCAGTGAGGGGAAACTTAAGAATTCTGTCTGTGACAATTTCAAGGTGAAGGGCACGAAAGCCAATATTGTGAGAGAGATAAAGGCTCCTAGATTTTGACGAGAGAGCTTATACCCATAGCATAAACCTGCGAATTGATTCTAGTTCCTTAAGTACAAGTATTTCTCTTATACCATATGGCGCAACTACAAACAGTTATGATTTGCAGTACTACTATCAGACAGAATATGT